GAAAAGAGTCCGGTGAAATTCTACAACACTGATGGGCAAGGTTGACTGTTGCGTTCCTGGCAGAGTGAGTCACGTAGTGGGCTACACATGCATACTGACAATACTGCTCTGAACTCCTTTGGGGACTGAGCAAGGTTGGAATGCCTTGTTGCATCGGCAGCTCAGATGTCATCATTTTTTGTCGTGAGTCGTGCAATCCCGGTGCTTCTTGCGCTCGAGTAATTGAAACTCTTTCTCGTGATCAGTGAAAGATATGGGAAAGGGTTCGTTGTGTTTCAGCGTGTTTCTTTATTTTGTTTCAGAAAGGGTTCAGCGTGTTTCTTTATTACCCGGTTGATAGTACTAATATTGTCGATCGTTAAGTAGCCTAGAATAAATGCTGCTTGGTCTCTTTGTTGATTGAGCTGTAATGCCGCTTTAAATATATTAGCTAATGTTTTGTGAATAGTTTGTAGAGAATGGGCAGTAAGCTCATCGGCCTGTAGTGTTTTAAGCCCTTGAGGTCTCCTTTTGATGAATCAAAATGATGTTGGGGTTGTTCCCAGTTTCTGGTACCCTTCCCGTCTAGAGACACTTCGTATACAAGGTGGCCTGTTTTTCTAACACGTTTTCTCCACCATCTTTCAGTGGGCCCGTTGTTACCTTATCCTCACCAGCGTTTTTGCCTTTTTGCATTCTTTCTGGAGCTTTCCTTACTTCCCCTGTCATTACTGGTAGGATGTCGAATAACACTGTACCAATGTTGCTCCTTACGATATCAACCTGGTTGTTTTGGATTCTTTACTGTTGAACTCCTCCGCCACCTCAATTATCCTCTCCATATCGGTTATAATATTGCTTTCCTTGTCCCTTAACGCATACATCCGATTTTGCCAATGCATGAGATTGTTTTCGCAGTTTTAATGCTCGTGCTGATTGTTTTACTGGGTCCTACGTAGCCTCCAACCAATAAAATGAAAGCTGTTTGTTACCTGTGGGTGCCATGGATTTGGCATAGAAAGTTTTCAAAAAACAATTCATGCAACCCACGTAGAAAAAAAGCGAAAAAGTTATTTTGATATAATGCGCTGCCATTTCGGCCCGAGATTTAATTATAAAACTTCAGCATTAATTACCTCCGCTACTAATTAACCTACGACAGTGAAACTGATGCGAATAGAGTTTTAAGAGTACAGACTATGAATATAAAATAATTTATTGTTTGTTCTCAGGGTCCCTGTAAAGGCTTTCGCCATCAATAAGCTGGTGTATAAAAAGAAAAAAGAAATATATCGCCTCTGTGTTGTAGTATTCATAATGCATAGGATGCCAATTATATGTGATTGTCACTTACCATTTGTTGTAATCCTTAGAGGTTCTGGAAACAATTGCGATAACTGCGGAAACGTATTTGTGAAATTACCATCGATTGTCTGTATGACGAGATTGTGGGTGCTAAGAAAGCATTATGGCAGTGGGGCGAATACTTCGAGGCAGAATAAGGACAACAAATTAAAATTGACGAAGATATACATTATGTGGCGAAAAATTTGTCATTATCAAGGCACACGTAGATTACTTAATATTGTTACGGGTCAAAGTGAATGCTAGTGGGCCGTTGAGGGGAGTACGAGTTGCGTAGAAGGTATCCAAAATATAGACTACAATGGTGTCATAAGCAAAAACATTTTTGGACTCCTTTTCTGTTCAGGTATGCTCTTTTTCTATACGGTAGGAATATTTATTACCTAAAAGTCCTAATAATACACACAGTCAACACTTGACCAATCCCCCTGATTGGGTATGACCCATGGTTGAGGCACCATTATCATCATCAAAGCTGGTGTTTTTGGCGGCCACATTAAAAAAGTGTCTCAAGTGTAAATTTATTGTGTGTGTTGACCAGCCGTTACAATTGGTGGCAGTGGCGAAATTCCCTTGTATTGAACGCTCAAAAGGGGACCTGGGACACGATGCCCTAGAAGATATGTTGGCAAGCTACGTTCAGAAGTAGAAATTGGTGGTAGAAAAAATATATCGCCACTGGAGAAGCACATATCTACGTCCCATTGTACCGTCTAGTTTTTGCGCCAGAATGACACGTGCGCAAGGTGGCTTTTAGAGAGACGCTGTGCCATCTGTAGATGCTGGGTTTGATTTACTGGAGAAGCCTGAGATGATAAAGAGTGCGAGTCTTCTGTCGATAGGTTTGACTTGGGCAGATGTATTAAAAACATTCGAGCCTAACGTCAGAGGAAACAAAAAAACAACAACAACAAAGAAACGTAGAAACGAGAGTCAAGTAAGAGCATAAAGCAAAAAATTTGATATATTGAGTGTTTTTGATGTAGCTGAGGAAGACTTCATATAAAGAAAAATGCAAAAAAAAAACGCCTCGTCCACTCAAGTTTCAAGAATGGCATGAACCAAAACAAAAACCTTGAAGGAAACTGCAAAAGTGGGTCATTTTCTAGACGGGCTCTGTAAGTTCTTTCTTTTTGGAAAGCTTTAAAAAAATCAGCCAACCCAATCAATCTTCGGAGACTGGCTAAGTGCGCATTTACGATGATGGTTCTTTCCTACGCAATATCTTCAGTTGAATTGGATATTGTTACAGTGACCAACGACAGCAATCATCGACGGCTTCAGAAGACCCCTCAATATAGTTGCAGGTTCCAATCGGCACTACGCGAACGGCGCGTCACTCCTGAAGTTTCCGTTATTTGTTTTAGAATGCCTCGTCATTAAACGTAACTGATTATGCTCACTGATGAGACGTTAGTTTTTGCAGCTGTTGGAACGTTCGTGCGTGTGATGAAGCACGAAGGAGACCAGAGTTTTCTAATATCTGAATATATTATTTATCTGAGTGTTGCCTCGGTACGTCGAGTGCGAACGGGTGCTTAATCGTTTTATTAGACAGATGTAGTTGGGCGTCCTGAGCACCCGTACGGTCGGAGCCTGCGAGCTGTTTGGAATGGCAGGCTGCGTCCGTACGGCTGGTGAACCTGTCTAAATCTGCTGAATCTGTCTAAATCTTGTGCAACTAATTCTGTCTAGTAAGTTCGTGCTATGTTTCGACAAGAAAGCGAAAGTGATTGTGGTGGCTGGTGGAGTATTAGCATTCTGGCATATTTCATTGAATTAAAACGAGCATTCGCACCATTACGCTTGGTTTTGTGAGATAACAGATAATAATGCCAAAGAAAGTATAGGAAAAGTTGTTAGACCGAATTGTAATGTAAATGTGAAGAAAGAAAAGTGGGTGAAAAGATAACTTGCAATGGGCAGAAATCGAACCTGGGACATTTAAATAACGCTTTCGATGCCCTACCACTGAGCTACCGGTGCGGCTATCGTCCCAACTACTTCATTGGATATATATGTGAATTTAAACGTTAGAGTGTCAGTCAGCGCCATCAGTAGCCATGACGGCTAGTGCGGCACACTATTTATGACCCTATGTGGCATCACGTAGCATGTGAACTTATTACTAACTGGAAGCTGACCAATAGTCACTCGTATACAACCTAAGGCATCAAGTCTGCCAGTATGAGAACCTCGTTAATGTATAAGGGAAAGAAGTGGATGCGTAAGGCCTCGTTTTTCCGTGTTTTGAAACAATAATAATGAGGTCTAAAAGACAATAGGCATTTTCAAAATGCATTCTAAGCAATTTCAAAATCAAACTGAAGTGCGTTTCACTTGAGCGTAGCGGCCTGCCGTACCATGTCATCGCTTGACGGCATGCTCAATGTACCGAAAGAGACACCGTGGGGCGTCCACCAAAGACCCCATTAGTGAATTTCAGCACGCATCACCCCGTGTCAGAAGCAACAATATTGAACAATATTTGACCCACCCATTTTGCCCATTGAAGTCAAGCATATGACTGCGTTCTACTTACTATAACGTTACCAACGACGCAAAAAATCAATTGAGAAGGGAGCGCTACAGGTCAAGTCAAAATAGCAAAATAGCTCGAGAGAGTGCGCCACAGCATCATAACTGAAGATATTATTTGCCGCCATGGATTCGGAGGAAGGTGCCTGTGTACTGCCCGTGAACATCCACGTCGTCGAAGGGCTGATATACATGATGCAGCACAAGACGACGAAACGGGCATACAGTACCACACAAAATTTGTATGTCTGTTTTTTATTTCCGTGCTACGTCATGATTATTAGCAAGCACCAACTAGCCGCCTCAGAATAAAGTCTTGTAAGGACGAATCCGTCTGTGCTGCCTGCGAAGAGATAGCGAAACGCCAACGCCGGCCTTTAGGCACCTATCTATAAGAGATGAAGAGGGGTGCTAAAATAAAGCGAATACGAGGTAAGGTTCTAATATTTTGAGAGTCGCCAAAGGAGCGCCAACAAAGACAGGTGATCCCGCCACTTTGTCTCAGACAAGCACAATTTAAACGATAACAGAGACCCGCCAATGAACAGTTCTGATTAGCAGTCTGTAGTTTTCACTGTGTCGAAGTTGCTCGATTTTACGGACTACCGTAGATAATAAGGGCAGTGATGAGTGTCGAATGCATGTTAGGTGGGTGCACACAATTAAACGTGTACATGCAGTGCTCTCTGTATACGTGCTGCTCAATAGCTTTCTCTTTGTCATGCTGGATCGTTAGCGGGACGAGCGGAAATTTTCGGAATTTGTTTTTTGTGGACTTCAAGTTTGCTTCGTGTCATACTGTGTGTAATCTCTAATTATTACCTCTAATAGTTACCTGTAACACAGCGTGATGCCAGAGAGCACACAAATCATAAGTAGTGCAAAAATAAGTTCGCAAAACGAACTGAAGGAATTTCCAAGTTCAACCTTTTGTCACTTAATGTCCCGGATAATTTTCTAAAAAGCCCAAGATCATACATCCTTAGAGAAAGTGTATTTTTACTTTTTCTCTAATTTTCTTTTCTTATATAGGACTGCCGCATTTGTACGCTTTCTCTGCTACAATACTTGTTTATATTATAACGTGGATTACGTAAACGTTTAATTTTTCGGAACAGTGTGCGGCCTTCTGGAGCAGGGTGTCTTGGCAGTGCTTGGTTCCCAGGAAGCGGAGACTGCGTTACTAGTGCGCCATGCGTGCGCCAGGCATCAGGTGCCACACGTGTACTTGCACAGACAAGAAGGACAGGAAAGTGCCTTGCCAATAGATGCGCTGTCGTTGACCATGACACCGCCTGCTGAGGAGCTTGGTCGTGCTCTGTGTGACCTCGTTAAGGCTCAAGGCTGGAAAAATTTTACTGTCATCTACGAGAAACCAGATGGTAAGCATAACGCTGCTGTTACCTCAACTGTCATTGCCTGAAGTGAGGCTACTTCAAGTGTACTTCAAGTATTGTCAAACATGCTCTTCTTCTTCCAGCAGTGCATTTCGTTGAGAGCAGTGCGAAAACTCAGATATTTTTTTTATCTTACAGCGCTCTATCCGATAGAAAGTGGTATGTATCTGCCACGCTCGTGAAGTGGTTAGGGTGCTCAGTAGTTGACCGTGGGATGAATCATGGCTTTCAGTCAAAGTGAAGTGCTAAATACCTGTGTGTTGTCCGATGTGAGTGCACGCTAAAGGACACCTTCTGAACGAAACTTCCAGCGCCTCTCAATATATCGTGGCGCTGGCACATACACCGTAGGTAATATTATAAAAAATTGCGCGTTAATGCACTTTTGTACACGAATAAATGTTTATGCCTAAATATCAGAACACTAACTCGTTATTTACAAGTCTTCTCTTCATACTGATTTACGCAGAGGCATTGCAGTTCTTACTGTCCTTACTCTTTAATCAATGAAAGAGGAGAAGTATGTACATTCACTATCTGCACTTTCTTGTGAGTATGTACTCAGCACATGACACGAAGATACAGAGTGGCAGCACTTAGTTCGGAAGGGCTACTTGGTGTTGGGTTGCTATTGTGACGAGAAATAAAAGCAGCAATAGTATTTTCATCTCCTTGACGACCATCCTGCTCTGGCATATTTATTGAATCTGGCATAATTAAATGAGTCTCTCTTGAAAGTCTGAAATGAGAACCAATGGAATAGCTGACTTCCAATGATCATCGACTGAAAAGTCCTCCATAAAATGCCCACCTGTCTGTGATATTCTAGATCAACTGAATACACTAATCAAAGAAGTTCTGTAGTAGTGTTAAGCTGTGTACATATACGCTAAAACTGTCTATCTTTAGCATGATATTTTTCGAAATGTGCTGCTTGAAGATCCCAATCGCAATGCCTAAACAACAGGTAGAAGTATTGTTATGGCGGTGAAATGCCTTGTCGTAAAATAAAATTCCATTTTTAATCAAAAGCTACGTCATGCTGATAAAGTTTTGGCAGGGGCCGTTTTGGCATCATTTCCAGTGCATTCAAACGTACAGACTAAGAATTTTCGAAAATTATCACAACTGAATTGTGTGCGGAACTTTCCGCGATCTAGTTTCGACTGTAGAATTCGATCTTGACCACGGGAACAAAAACCTTCAATATTATAGCTGGGGATATTCACTTCAATCGCACGCAAGGACAATCGATCCCCCGTTTTTCTTGCATAAGAAGGTTGAACACAATAGTAGGCCGAAGGTACAACTTCTCCTCTTCAATGCCAAATTATGTATTTAGAATCATCTGTGCGCGCATTATATTGCAATGCACCCACCTTCCTTTACTTGCAGCGCTGGTTCGGCTTCGTGGGCTACTGCAGCTGCACAGGCCTGGTGGCCAGCCTTCAATAGTTTCACTGCGGCCACTTGACGAAAAGGCGGACCCTCGGCGTGTTCTGCGAGAGGTGGCCAAGGCGGGAGAAAATAATATCGTTTTCGATCTTACCACCCACAGACTTGCGGACGTGCTCAGGCATGTGCGTATTGCAGTAATCTTCTCACAAATACAGCCTTTTCGCATTTCTTTGTTGAGTAGCATAAATGGTATACAGATCATCACACCTATGCGAAGGCCCACGCTGGCTTAAGTTTCACGCAGTCAGCCAGCCAATTCTGCAACGTTGTTCAACACACTTTTTCACTCCGTTTCCGAAACCAAAAGTCTAACATTACCGCTTTAATACAACTTTAAATAATTTTGGGAGGTTATGGAGGCCTATGTGGTCTGAAAGTTGAAGTTTAATCCAGTCATCTTTAAGATACCTCTAGAAATGTACATACACCACCAATATATTTCTGTTTGATATGCCGTCAAGAGTGCACTGAACGTTCGTGCGCTCAGGCATTATGATGAGGTTGTAGATGCGGTTACGAACTCAGTCAAGATGAAGAAGCACAGAGAGGGTTCGGCACCCATACGGTTTCTTTGTGTGCATAAGGAAGTTGTTGTAATGAGTTTTTTTATAAATAAAGCGTTGAGAGCACTCAGCGTGGGGATAGCAACGCCCTTATTAAAAATAACGAGGCTGTTTTCTGTTCGCCTGACTGTATGAAAATAACACACTAAAATAGACACACAACAGGGATGTTGTACAGGATCACAATGGAATGCAACACGGCGAAAACCTCGAAAAGAAACGCACAAGCTGAGTCCTACCATAAGAGCGTGTCACCGGTGAATACATGAAGTTTATATGAGGATTGTCTACATAGAAAAAGTGTTACGCGGGAATGTCAGGACCACAGAGATTCGGCGAAGAGCAAGGGTACGATCAAGTGTAGGCATGGCGGATAAGGTAGGTGCCAAAAACAGGGCCGACAAAGCCAGGCAGCCTTCTACTCAGACGCGCGGACCAGCGTCCAGAGCTAAGCCCTCAGACTTACGTTCAATGGTGGACCTGCGGTAGCTTACCATTGGCTCCGTGGACCGCCGAATCTTGAGGTCAAGCGAAGAATGCCACTCCAACTCTTTACCTCGACCAAGCTCTCGGGGCAGACCACTACGACCGTGATGCTGGCAAACCGCCTTCCTTTTGAATCCGCCTGCATGACCACCACCTTGCCAACTGCATGGTACTCCACCCTCTTCACCTGACCTCGTGTCTGCACGCCACTCTTCTTGTTCTTTCACGCATGCCAAGCTAACCACGATGACACATTCTTTTTCATGCGCCAGGGTCCTCATTGTTTGTCCATCACCATGGCACACACAGTGGAGGACAGAAGAGCTTTTGCACGCATATCCCATCACACCTGTATGGGTACCGAGTCATCCCTGTGTTTTAGGGACCCCGTATGAATCCCGAAACGTCCCCGCGTTTTTTCACCTTCACTCAATCAGTGACCGCATCTAAGTTTTCATTTTATTCCTCCACAAGCATTTTGGATAGAGGGTGAGCTAGTGATACAAAAAAGTTTCGGTATGATGTGTGTGCGCCTATTACCTACTCTAAATTGAAAAAACCCGACAGCTAAAATAAAGCTTTCGAAAATTACTAGCATAATTTTCCTCTCTGCGCCAAAGTTTTGTTTTTAAAAACGCTGCCACGAAAATCGACCTCGACAGTCAATGAGAAGTTAGTGTCGTCTGGGACTCCAACAATGCGCAGATGTTTTGTTTGTGGACACAAAAAGGTTGACGTTCCGTAAGTAACAGCATCACTAGAGAAGACATTCTGACTAGGGCGACTTCTTTCGCATCTCACATGCTAATCCAACGACACGAAATGCCATAGGCAATAGCCAAATACATTAGGCATCTAGCAATGATACGAAATGCAATGAAATTGGCAAAATGCGAAGGCATCCCTATCGCAAAAGCTAGTGGCACTGGCCCTGCGCATACCTGATTACTGGACGAGTGTAGCGCTGACACTGAGACACTGTCACGCCGTACGAAGCACGCTGGCGCTGCACACTGGGACACCCATTATCGGCCGAAATCTGGCTTTTAAAGTGTTTTTTTTTAAATTTTGGTCATGCGCACATTGTAATTAAGGCTAAAACACGCGCGCAGCAAGAAAATCAAAAAGAAAAAAAGAGAGAAAAAGTGGTGGGCCAGAATCGAACTCACTACCTCAACACATCACACATCCTGAGCCTTACCGCTACCCAATACACCACACCTGAAAGACGAGGACGAATGTATTTTTCTTCATCTTAAAATTATTTCAGGTCACCTATATTTTGATTTTGTCGCTTACATACGCGGTGTGTCCTCTCTTCATGCCAGCGACAAACAGGTGATTGTTAGCTTATTTTTTGCTGGTTGCCTTGGATCACATTCATCGGGCATGTTTTGCCGCAAAGTTTGTAAGCGTATAGCTGCGAATGTGTTACGGCAATCTATTGTCTGATTGATTGATATGTGGGGTTGAACGTCCCAAAACCACCATATGATTATGAGAAAGCATAGTCAAAGCATAGAGCAAGCATAGTCAAAACACGACGCATAGGTTCTGTGCCTCCCTGCCCCCCTGCAGGTACACCATTGTCGTTGGTGCCCCTCTCCCCAGCAAAATTCTGGCGGCGTCCCTGACGCGTGCCCTTGATATTTGATTGCTTCAGCGTACTCGCATATACATCGATTGTCTAACTAAAACTAAAGCTATATATGTGTAGCACGTAGATGAGAGTACTATCTTGTTCGGTAAATTTTAAGCATCACATCTCACGATTAAATATGATGTCTCACAGAAAGTGCATCGATCGCGCCTAGTTTCTTCCGATGTGCCTTTAATGTTCTCAGTGTGTGGTAGAGACTGTACAGCGTGACCAGGGCCTCCCAGTGCGCTTTAAGACACTGCCTAGGTTCAGTGCGTTTCAGCGCACTGGGCAGCACTGGCCATGCTGTACAGTGTGTCCCACTGCCTCCCAGCGCACTGTAGTACACTGGAACACACTGTACAGCGTTTCCAGTGACGCCCAGCGCGCTGAAACGCCCTGGCAGACACTGGAAACGCTTTTTTTATATAGGGATTAGCAATGGACAACGGTACAATACGAAGTAGGCATTATACAATGCATGCAATGGCTCTGTCTGGGAGCATTGTCTCCTTCATAAAGGTATATTCAGGGAGAGTGCGATGGAGGTGGTTTTTATAGCACCCACTCCCATTAGTCGCCGCTAGTATAGATATATTTATAGGGGAAATAAACTTTTATCACACTAGACTGCAGATGTCAGAGATGCTGCAAAAGGACGACGAACTTTTCGGAAATACGTCTGTAGCTCAATTAGTAGTTTAACATGTGGCATACTGATCTTCCAACTACAAGCTCCGAGTGTTATTTTCAGCAAACGCGGAACACTTGAACACTAAGTCTTAATTTGCGCAGAGTCATTTTACTATGGCTTCCCTCATAAAAGGAACCGCGGTTTTATTCCTGAACCCCAGCAAATCAATACATAGCGTCTTTTCAAAGACGAGTCTGAATATTCCAATATATTATTCACTGCCTTCATAATTACTTTTATATTGTGGCAGGCATCTCAGCTTCACTAGATACAAATATAACGGAATTAATTAAGCGGTAGTCTAAGAAAACAGCAAAGGAAGGTTAGGTAGTAGTTAAGCTTCATAAATAGTTCTCACAAGTAGTTGAGATGAATGGGAGTATCAAAATCCTCCTTGTAAATTGTCCATTGTCGCCTGGGAATTTCCGAAAATCTGATGTTGGTGCTAATTTCGCCAGGGAAACCCAATCATCAAAATAATACATTGCCATTGCCACACTTTCGCTTTATGGGTTTATGGGCTGTGCTTGCACCGCATAGTTAACAAATGCGAAACTAACACTACTACCTTCGTTGTCGTGAGAAGTGACATCATTCTTGTCATCTGGTACTGGTGCTATTTTGCGTTCCGGTTTAAGCCTGGTCCCTGAATTAAACCAAATTTTGTTTCTTCACGAAAGTACCTCTTTGAAGGGGGGTGGGGGGACTTATAGGGGTTACCTAGGACTATAAAGGATCGGTTTCACCCCTTTAGAAGCCTCTTTTGTGAAAGCTCAAAGCAGCCAGTTGCTGTTTGGAGGAAGCATTGACACAGCCCCACATGACTTCACCAGATGTCGGGATAGTGTGATAAATTTATTGAGTGTCATATATCACACCTCCAATTTTATTAAACTGAGTGCCGCAACAGAAAAAGCAATTATGAAGGCGCTGGATAAACACTCTATTCTGCTTATTTTTCATGATTTTTAGGTACAATTCTTGAAACACGCTCTATCTATATGTATAGTAACAAAAACAATTACTGCAGACAGAGAGTTTGGTGACTGCAGACAGAGAGTTTGGTGTAAGAGAAAATAACAAAAAATTGCTGGCTGATTTAGAGCAATCGTCAATATAAGGAACATGGGCCGCCACAGCAAGGTTACTGACCTAATAAGGCGAACGCACTTAATATCTCACACTTGCGTCCTCCTACGATTCATTCGCCTTTTCGTGCCCTGGAATGGGGTCAGCTGTAGCCTGTCCTTTCACAATCTCTCATTAATCACGTGGTTGCACAGCGGTGGGGGGTGATCAATTGTCCATCTAATTTTTATAATCACAAGTCAGCTGTCGTAACGTTGACGCAGCTGAGCAAATAGAATCCGTGGGACGTTAGAGCAAACACAAAATAAATCATTAACAAACCGTCCATCGTTTACTTGAAACTAATCTTTGTAAATATTTTTTCCTAAAAGAAATTGAAGGGCGCCTTGTATATTCCGAAGTGCCTATGGCGAAAGCATGTGCCCAGTACACTGAGAGTGTCATGCACAAAAAAACTACAAAAAACTACCAGGTAGTCAGTCGAATTGCCGCACGCTTTTTCTGAACACACTCGGGAATCAATAGTTGTCCATGAATATTATGTCTCTCTTCCTTGGATACATGTATATGAGCGCATTTTCAAATATTTTCATTAAAACATCGACTCTGTGGTAGCATATGCAAGAATCAATACGCCGATATATATTGCACATGAAAAATGGGAAGCCGTCAAATGACTTGAGAATGACAAATCTTGAAAATTGTTAGAAAACTGGGATACAGCTATATGTTCTTATTATGAATATTTCGTTTTTCAAAGGCCCCTGAAAAATTCTGAGGACACACCACCAAACCTCGCGAGTCCTCTGTCTCTCTCTTTCACTCTCTCATGCGCAATTCCCTTTTATCATTTTTCAGGCCCAGAAAGTTGGAATAATCAATGAGTACCACAACTTCATCACTACAACACTGGTAAGAGTCATACTTTCTACCTCATTGTGATGCTGCTTAACGAAGCTGTACAAAAATTAGGTGCATATGAAACGCTTAGTGCCACAATCGCGAACATGACTACGTAAATCCAAGGTTTCTCGAAGTTTTCGTAGTACTAACACTGTAGCAGCGTAGCCGACATCACTTAGGTAACATATATGTGCCAAAAAGTATTAGAGATTTTAGGCCACCTTAGGATTCTTAAGGAAAAACTTGTTATTTTTAATACCGGTGTCAGTCTCTTCTTTAGCTACACATGTATTAGAGGCGTAAAACATATTTTAGGGGTCATTGAGAAAGGGAAGGTTATTGTACACTTAACTTGCACGTACACAAACAAAACACCTAAAACAAGTAAAGACAGTGTATACATCTTACAAATGAGCACCAAAATCTAAGTGATCACTGGTATTGAAGCTCCTTAAAGTGCCACCCGTTCAACTCTCGAAGTAGTCGTAGTCGTAGTGTGTAACCAGTCTTACGTTTTGACCTGCAAGGTGGTGCCAGTGGGAGATTTCTACTGTGCGTTGTTGAACAATAAAAAATTTGCAGGGTGCGCGTTAACTAAAAGCTGAATTCTCCTGTTTCTTATTCCCCATTAGCAGCCTTTGGCATGTACATTGAGCCGTATCTGACAAGAAAGAGTTGCTACATTATACTCACTGGGCGTAACCTCCTTGGTTTTAGAAAGGTTTAGCGAGCGTTGAGCCGCAGTGCCATGAACACATATACAATGAACTCGAGGTGCTTAAACGTGGGAAGTATACACGTAGCGCAAGCCGTAAGAAAGTGTGCGTGTGCCATCTCTCGTTTAGTCCTTGGAATGTCCGCTGGAAGGCGGTGCTTCTATATGGGGAATGTTCACCCTATAGTTCAGGATGATGGCGCAGAGTTTTTCAAAGCACTGGGATTTAGGGACAGCGAGGGCAAAATAGACTTTAAGCGGGTAGACTTAACTAGAAGGAGGTTATCTGATTGGTGGCTAAAGTCAAGGCACGAGTGAAAATTAAACCCTTCACTGCGAAGTACGAATCCTCAACTTCATTATTTAAAGGAAAAAAAAAAGATAAATGTAATGGTTAGTTCACTAAGTATCACGGCTAGGTGGCGTTAGCCACCGCCCGATCTAAAGGGTACAGCCACATCCATCCATCCGAATGTGGCTCTAGCCACCGCCCGATCTAAAGGGTGCAGCCATATCCATTCATCCATCCATCCGAATATATGGTGAAAGGATGCGAGATGGTGGTACTTGGAATGTTGAATAGATGGACGAACGGACACACAGACAGATGCATGGTCAGACGCGCAGATGGCTGCACGGACGGACGAACGCATGGATGGATGCTCGGATGGAAGTGCAGACGCACGAACAGACGTACGCACGGACGGCAGATGAATGCACCGACGGTCACACAGACGGACGCATGGATGGATGGAAGCAAGAACGAATGGACGGATGGATGTTTCGCCCCACTCTCCATCATTCACTCCTTGGATATACTGCCATTTTTTTCATGAGGCACTCAATGCGGCCACCATTTGTTGATATATTAGACAGTTTTAGTTTACTGCGAGCAATGCCTAAGGAACACAAACGCGCGGCGCTTTGGGTACCTAACGGCTAAGGCTGTCGCACACAGCGTTACTTTACCGTATGGAACAACCGAAACATGAAGTACGCTTCGGCGTAAACAGTCTTGAATATGAGTGCTGCTCTGCGTCATCTATAGGAGAATAAATGAACTGCAGTAGCCTATAGAAGCGGCCTTTTTTTTCCGCAGAAGTCATGCCGTCGACGCTCGCAGCCGCAGAGATCTCGCGACACAGCTTCCGTTAAGGTAGGCCGCGGCCGTAGCTGGCGCAACGTCAGCGCCGACATTTGGCATGCGCATCTATTGTGCGCTCAAACGCACGCACTCTCCAAGGTTTAACCCATGCGCATTGTTGCTCTGTCTCGCCCATTGCGTGCGCAAGGCTGTCTCACACACTAAAATAAAACTCTCTAATGTCACGAAACAATAAAATGGAATAGAAAAACTTTTTTGTCGCAAAACAATAGTCTTTCAGAATCGGCATCGTTGTTATACTCATATTGGAGATTGGTTTCGATATGTTGTCGAGTTCCGGCACATAAATATGTTGCGAAATTGCTCTCATACGAGGTATTTGACATGATTTCTTTCAAATGGTAGTGTGCCATATACTTGCGACCAGTGGAAGCCAAGCCTGCAGCTTTAGAATTGAAGGAATTGCTTGCTCTCAGCCACCAAATAGTTCAAAAACTCACGTGGCGTGATGTCGGGTTTGATTTCACGCATCTGCCGTGCAATATCACATTTCTTCATACCGCTCGTATCTCCAAATGAGGAAGCTATAGTGTATTTGACGGTACTAGAAGCTGAGGAATAGTATGGTTTTCAGGGTAAACAATTTGCCTCCGTGTAAGCTGAAGTATAGCGTGGGCTTGAATGTGATGAATGCGATGAGACGCAGTATTTTCTACATGACCTGCGCGATCCGCTTCAGGAGCGCGCAATCGCACTGCCGGTGTTAATTTAAAACAACATGGCTCAGCTCGTCACGTGTGCGTGAATTATTGAATGAGTTCGGTGAAAGAGCGGAATGTCGTCTTCTAGGCATGTTGCTTCAACATGGTATATAGACACTTCATAACATTCTTACTTTAATACAAAGTTTAGCCATGTGAACTGCAACATACAAAATCGCCAGGGGTTTGTCAATACATATACTTAATTTGAATAGTGCAGTCACCTATCAGTTTTCAAACCACTTGAAGCACTAGTCTGACATTTTGGTACGCGACTAGTACGTCGGCGCCAAACAAAATAGCTTCGATTTTGTCTATCACCCTAATACTCATCGCTCACGAGAGCATCTCGAGGCTCGCGGACCGGTGCCACGTGGGCTTTAACGCTATGGCGCGCACATTATTTGCGATTGACGCATTACATGAAGTTGCGTAATTAAAAACAAACATAATTCTGAATTTAGACGATTAAAAAAATGTGACCATAGTAAATTTTGTTGTTTTAGCAGGAAAGTGTTTATGCCGTTGTCCACCAGCGCTCCGCTGACGTACTTCCCTAGCGGAAGTGACGTTAAAAATGTATATTAGAAGATTGCAAAGAAAAAAAAAACTAGTTAGAAAGCATCTGTCACACGCCAACAACCCCCAAATTATCAGCGAGTGGCGCCAACCAGTACATCACAGAGCGCATGCTGCGTGGAATGTTTACGGAAAGCCATTTATGCATACCATGCACAGCACGTTTCTGTTATAAGAGCCAAGACGGCGTCACGGGTTCGCGTTGGGTGTGCTATGAAGGTTGTTGTCTTCACAAAGCGCCCCCTTCATAGAGCATGCTCTCTCCTGTGCACGTGCTTTTCAGACTCGTAATCTGGGAGAGGACGAAAGTCACTTTGAACGCTGCCACGGCCGCGTGTACAAAAGAAGCATGCTGCTGACACACAACGCAAGAATAATACTGAAAACTGTTCACGCTTACCCTTTGTGCACTTGTGCGCTTGTTTCGTGCATCTATCTTTCTGTTTAGACAGCGTGCTTTAAACGTTGAACTGTGACAGTTGATAGCCCGCACTCGTCCTGTGTATGCTAACTTCGTGCTTGCTTTCTGCTTGCGATGTGCGCTGTGAATTTCGAACTGCTTGGCGTTCTTAACGTGACTTTGCAATTTGTTGCTGCTGCTAAAACAAAGCGTAGTAAACGCTCAACTATCTCTGTAAAAAGACGTTTCACTTTTGTGTTATACCGATTCCTATGTAGGGGCATCACACACGTTGCTTTATGTATTTGGAATATCTTAGAGTCATTCATAAAACGCGTGGTCAACGGTGTATTTATTCTTCGGGAAGTATTCTATTTCTGCTTATCTTCAGAAAATATAAGTCAGCTTAGTAATTGTTTTATAATAGGCACAAAATACAAGAAATATAAACATACGACATGACGCAGCGTTATGCATAACCCACAAGCTTAAATGCCGAGCATTATTAAGGGCAGAACGCATATTTCTCACTGCAAAAAACGAAGGGAAGTTTCTTTCGCATAATAAAGAAAGCCACCGCTAAAGGTTGGAGTGTGTGACCAAGGCCTCGGCTTCCTTGTGCAGCCTTACGTAAATAAATGAAAACATATTTGCAGAATTAACTGCATTTATAAGTATAAAAAAGGGTGCTGTTAGGCATGTAGCGTAGAGAAGATACAAAGCAGTATAAGAACGTAAAATGATTCAATATACAAACCTATAGAAAGCGCTAATTTTACTAAAGTAAGTATTTATCTGTTTGCCTCTTTGATGATTTAAACGTAGTGTCAAAATCACCAGTAATTAACATTCCCAATTTCACAGTTACATGACAATTTCTATTTGGTTTGTTATAGTTTGTGAGTGTCTTAGAGACCCAGTACATTTCGTTTTGAAAGTGGTATGAACTTTTAGACAAAATGAAGTTTTGTGCGTGTAGTTTATTGCTCTCAATATACTGCGACAGTTGAAAGAGATCGAATTGGTTGGCTTTCAGCAAATCACCAATACGGAACATTGGCAACGTTGAAAAATCTTTATGTCTGCCGCGGTACTCATGAATGCACAGCAAATCTCTCTTTTAGAAAGCAGAACCCAACATGTTTTATTTTCTTTGTGTGTCGTTTGTTTACAGTGCTTTCTTTAAAAAAACAAAAAACTGCTGGTTCGATTTCACAATGTCTGTCGATATGAATGGAGATAGCTTGCAGGCCATATCAAAACCCACTTTATGAACACGCCCTGCTGCCCGACTTTGCACTAGATGGGCTGGTCACAGAAAACCTTCGGCGAAGAAAGCAGCCCAACAGAAGTTCCTGTGACATGTGTGTACTTGACAACTATTTTTGGGAATACTCCAAGTGAAAGAAAAACAACATCTGCTAAGTCATGCGAGCTTTAAAAACAGCA